TTGCGAGTCCATCCGCCACACGACCTGTGAGCGGGGCTACTCTGACAAACAATATGAAGTGCGTAAGAAATAATATTCACAATTTTTGTTTATTACCATCATTTGTGTTGAGTTTCATTTATTCATATATATATATATGTATTGACCCCTTCTTCAAATTAGATGTTTCAGTAGCAGGATGAACTCCTAGAACCAGATCGCATGCGAGCAATTCAAGAGGAATTGGCGGCATTCTTTCTTGACCACGTGATCGCTGAAGACGGAGAATACTATGTGGACCATGCGTCCATAATGTAGGAGATTATATTTGTAATAGATAATTATTGTATATATGTAGCCGGTAGTGTCGGACGATAGATATACGAGAACTTGTTGTTCGACCAATCTCTCGGAGAAGGAGAGGTGGTCGATATCACTTCTCTCTGTATGCATATACGTTCATGACGATCTTCTGTTTCCTTCGTTTGCTTACTACCTAGTTAGCGTGCCTAGTCCTCTCTATACGTATGTATAGTACGTAGCGTCGACCAAGCACGGACATAAGAGAAGACACTTCTCTCTATTAATTAGCTATCTAACACAATATATGAAATACCTAAATTAACCCCCCAAAACCCCCAACCCCCCCCCTTTTAAAAAAAACCAAAAACCCCAGCCACAGAAATGCTGACGCGTGGAGGTCTATTGGTCCCGGTTGGTGCCACCAACCGGGACCAAAGGCCCTCCTGCCTGGGCTCGGCGCACAGGCCACGTGGAGGCCCATCTGTCCCGGTTCTGGTTTGAACCGGGACTAAAGGGTGAGGGTATTAGTAACGACCCTTTAGTCTCGGTTCGGGAACCGGGACTAAAGGCCCTTATGAACCGGGACAAAAGGCCGGTTTTCTACTAGTGTAAATGCATGACGCAATAGCAGACTGCGTTTTTATCACCTGCTCCCGCGAATGCCAATTTTAATTGATCAACTACAAACTGGCATACATTGGTCTCTGTTATCGCATCCACATGCATCATAGCAGGAAAACACCGTGGGGATATGTTCAAACTTGTGGTAGGAGCAAGGAAACAGGAGAAGGCGACCGCCAACCAAGCACGCAAGAAATTGTTATCTGCTGCACCATCCATTTCCTTAATCATTTTGCACCAAGATGTTTGTGTTGGTGAGCCTTTGGTATTGATCTTGAAGATTGTGTACATTTTGGATGTGTAATCTGCTCTATTCTCATAGCAAACCTTCCTCCCCCTGTTTGGCAGACCCCATATCCTGTGAACACTTGCTGCATCTACTGGAATCTTGCCCCTCTCTGGGATGACAAGTTGGGAAATTTCAGGGTCGTAATGCTTCATAACCCACTGACTCAAGTCTCCTGGCATGCTACATGTTGCAATCTGCAACAAACCTCCAAACTCTATTCGAATTACCTCATCCTTCTGACATTGCACTAGATCTTTGCTTGAACAACCTTGCTGGTGATGCCCTATTCCTACGACCCTACAAGCAAGAAATATGGGCTAAGTCTAATCTCTCTGTGACAAAAATTAGCAAGTATCAAAATTGTTTCGTCCTATCCAGAAGAGTATAATTTTTTCTTATAACTTCAACATGCTCAATAGTGCTAGTGGCCTTGCTTACACACGATGATTAAACAGCTAGTCCAAAAAACATACACTCATTACTCAAAATTGGCACAATCATCACTCAACTTCGAAAAGAACACATAAATCATACAGCCTTAAAAATGTAGTCTGGAAATGACAAATCATGATGCGTAAATACCTCATTTCCGCCTGTTCTCTGGCGTTTTGGCTTCGATTCCTCCTCTTGTGTGACATCCTTGCCTTCTAAATCATCATCCTGCGCACTGGCGTTGCTAGCTATGTCTGACGGGCGCTTCCCACGGCAAATTATTTTTTTAGTGCGCCTACGCTTGTAGCCAATCTTTGTTGGGTTCTGTTGCTCTGATGAGTGTGCCTGCATTGGGGGAAAATGAGTTCATCTGTTTCGCATTGAAAAAAGCAGAAAAAACTCGAACATGGCAACAGCACCACCGCCACCCCGTGCCACACTCAAGCTCTTACCTCTGTTTCTCCTACACCATCTGGGTTTGCTTGTAAATCCTGACCATCACTTTTGTTCCTTGCCTCGGACATTTTCGACACTGCAAACACATAGTACGATATTTTCAGGTTACAGAAAAAAAGAACTTTACTACTTGTAACACTATAGGTTGCTAACAAAACATGAAAAAAGGCATTTCCTAGAGCTTGCTGATGAACCATTATAGCAATGCATGAAACGAACACACACAACTCCTGATGAAAGGCAACTGTGGTTCGTAGTCACGCGCAACTTGTATACTGATTTCTGGCAAGTTATTAAGAAAAATAACCTCAAAAATCTACATGGTACTAGCAACTATGAAAAAAAAACAAGTCCAGGCAATTTCTGTTTCAAACACCGACATTGCTAAGGCAACTCCTTCACAAAAAAATCGAAGCAACTCAGCGAAACGCCCTACTACTCGTAGATCAGACAGCTCTTCGTTTCGGCAACTCATCCAGAATCAATCAAGCAACTCCCACACAATGTCAAAGCAAAAAAAATCGGCGAACACCCTGGAACTGATCAGACAGCTCTAAGTTTCGGCAACTCAATCAACGTTGATCAGGCTACTCCCACACAATATCGAAGCAACACGGTGGACGCCCCCTACGACTAGTACAAAAGACAACTCTAATTCACCAACTCATCCAGCTTCAATCAGGCAACTCCTACACAATATCGAAGCAACTCCACAAAAAATCCCAAAAACATACACATGAACTACCAAGCAAATCCCCATACCTGTCCATCCCCATCTCAGACCAAACAAATCTAACAACACACCACCAACCACCAATATCCTCGGGACATCCCCACGGCATGAATCCCCACCACGAGGAACCGCGATTCGTCCCTGCCGTGAAACGTGAAGCAAACCACTACCATCTATCAGCGTGTGATTACATCCATCTCCCTGCTCGCATGAATCCCAATCCCCCCGCAACATCGAGTACCTAGATCCATACCGCGGGAGCAGAAAAAACGGTGGTGATGGGTGCATCTGGTGCTTACCTCGGGATTCCAGAAGAACGACTCGGCTGCCGAACACGTAGCGCTGCCGGCGACCTTCACCGCGCGCCCCTTTTGCCCTTCGGTGTCGAGATTGGCCCCGTTCCGCCTTATTCTGTGGGGCTCGTGCGACCACCGCGCCCTCACGCCGCTCTGCCGCTCAAACACAGCCACAACGCATACCGCCATCGCGCACGTCCTCCGCTCTCCGGCAGCCGTCAGGGGAGGGGGGGAGGGGGGCGGTCGAACTTGCGAGAATGGCGACGAGGAGGGAGAGGATTGGGTTGGGGAATAGAGAGCGGAGAGAACCGTGGAATAGCGTGCCTAGCAGTTTCGAAATCTACGCCAACGGTAGGACGTGGGGGTAGTGGTGGGCCCTGCCAGGTGAACAGTTGTCCTGGTGAAGCCACGAAACGTCCATCCCAACAGGAAAAAACCTGGCCTCGACCGCGCAGGCGCGGACGCGATCCGACGGTTCTCAAGGGTGTGTGCTCGAACGTGACAACCAGCATCCATGCACTTTTTAGCATTTAGGATATTTTTTATGGGTGTTACCACGTTTACTAGGAAAGGAGTCAGCAGGGGCCGCTGTTCTGCTATGCTCTGTTTTTTCAGCCGGGCCGAACACAAAAAGTTCAGTGGCGAGAAGAATCCCATATGGGGCTGATAATAAAAGGAAAAAGAGAAAAAAAGAAGCCCATATCGGGCCAGGTCGGAGAGAGAGATAGCGCGGCGACACCGCCGGAGAAGACGCCGCCGGCACCAGACTTCCACCGCCTTGTCATCTCCGACCGCCTGCATCCCATCCTGCTCTACAAGGTCTGGTTTGTTCCGCCCCCTCCCTTCTCCCTCTCTCCCTCATCTCATGAGTGGAACCCCAGTTTTCTTCAATCTCTCCTGTGCCTATCGCTGTAGCCTGTACTGTAGGTGCGTCGTGGTTCCTCTTCCTCCCAAGTATCAGAACCCTATATAAATCACCAGATTTGGTGGTTCTGAGGAGAAACTGGTTTGGGTGATTTGCAAACTGGACAAGAGGATTACAACTGCCTAAGTCTCTGTAAGAATTTTAGCCCGCGTATCCGCACCGCCACCTGTATTGGGCATCAACAGAGCTAGGACAGCACCTGTTCTATATTCGTGGCACCATTTTAGTATCATCATCTTAAGATACAGATAGATGGTCTCACTGTCATGAACACGTTTTAACTTCAGTGGAGCATTTGCAATGGAAGTTCATTTTCTATTTCCTTATATAACTCTGCCGAGAATCAAATTCCTCGTCTGTCCAAGTGTTTTAACAATGTTTGTACATGTAACTAGTAAGATGCCAAGTGTAACAATGTTTTACATGTAACAAGTAAGTCATATACATGATATAGTCTGAGTCGTCCGTGCAGAAATTATCTCGAGTCTGCAAGTGGACAGGGGGATTAGAAGTTTAGAACTGCCTAAGTCGTTCAACTACACTAGAAGAATTTCAGCATATCCCCGTGTCGGTTATCGACAGGGCTAGAATGGCAGTTGTTCTGTTCGGTCTATGCACCAAGCAGAAAAAAGGTAGTAACTTGCGGCACTGTTATTATCATCTTTTATATATTGATGAGTCTCATTATCATGTAGAAATCAGTTCATCTTGTCTTCATATAACACTGCAGAATCAACTGAATCAAATTCTTTGTCCGTGCAAGTGTTTAGCAAAATTTTCTTACATGTTACTGTGTGAGTCATATACAAGATATGAAGAATATTTAAATGTGCTTATCCATTCTACTAGCATGCTACCTACAATTCCCATTTAGTCAACTCGTTTTGTTTCTAGCCTGTCATTTATTTATCAACTCATATTATCTCTAACCTTTCATATATTGTGTTTTGTAGAGAGTTTACCACGATGCAAAGCTCGAGCAAATTGTCTGGCCCCTTTGTTTCTACTCCCTCTGGTGTGTCGGGGCTCCAAGGTTGGACTGACATTCCAGTTGACCTGTTGCATTCCATCGTTCCTCTGTTGCGATCATATGTCGACCTATTTGTGTTTGTTAGCACATGTCGTTCTTGGCGTGTTGCTTTCTTGTCATACCCATCCAAATCAACCTTATGCACGGTACTCCCGCCTCTCCTTGTCCAACCCAATTTCCTTGACCTGTCTTGCCATCTCCCTTCTAGCAATGGTCGCCATGAGCTACGCAATTGTAAGCTCATCGATCTAGCCAAGCAGAACATATCCCATTGCTGCCAGATTCCTCGAAAGACTTTTGAGAACATGTGGTTTGTTGGCTCTTCCTATGGGCATCTCATCTGCTGCCTCAAAGGGAATTTATTTATTGTTGATGTGTTCACTGGTGTCGAATTTTCACCTCCCTCTCTTCCATTGAGTTGCGACTTTGACTTCTACTACTATGGCACTCTGACAGCGCGCCCTGCATCACCAAACTGCCATCTACTTGTCAGCACCCATCACTCCCTGTTTGATTGGCCCATTGGAAGTGACTCTTGGTCTCAACTCAACCTTCCCTATTCACGCATAGATCAGATTGTGGAATTCACCGGTCAGTTCATCGCACTGGATTGCCATTGGAGGATCCACATTCTGAAGTTGGCTCCCCAGCTTGGTCTGGAGCAGATAACAACCAGCAGGTTTTTCGACGGCATGGCCAAATGCCCACAAAGCCGATGGCTAGTAGTATGTGGTGACATGCTTCTCATCGTTGGCCATTACGAGAGCTTGATGTCATCTAAAGCACCAGTCCTATATAAACCATACCGTCTTGATATGTCGACCAGACCTGCAAAATGGGTGGAGGTGAAGAAGCTGGACAACTGGGCACTCTTTGTAGGGCGTGATTTCAGGAGCCCGTCGTTTTCTTGCTCAAGCCCGGAACAATGGGGAGGGTGGAGTAACCGGCTATACTACGCCCATAACTTTCAGCCTTTGACCATACATGGGTTGGGTGACGATGCAGAGGCTGTGTGGGATCCTTCCAATGACCCCAATCTTTTCTATGGGAGGAAGAGGTACAAGAAGGTGCAGGCCTTCTGGGTGTATCCGAGCATGTTCAGTTCCGATGGCTAGTGATCGTCAGTGTGCAACTACGGCTTGCTGCTCTACAATCTTCTTCTGAAAAAACATCAAAGACGTCTACAGCTTTGGATGGGTGATTTTCATGGTGGAAGGAGGGCCAAAGATTTTTGCTGTTAGTTCCATCCTTCTGTTTTCAGAACACTGTGGGAGACTTTTACTCAAGATTTTTCAGTTAGTTTGCCATTCCGTTTTCTGTTTAATCTTTACAATAGACGAATATGTAATACGTTTTGCATTAAGAAAAGTACCACGTTTTGCTTATTTGTGCTGGAATAGGTAGGTTTCTAGCCGCTTAGTTCAGCATGCACGGAAGTGCTTAGACCTTAGAAAGAGGTGTGTGTTCCTTTTATCAGTTATTAGGTGTGCTGTTTAACTATTTGCTGGAACTCACAAGTTTCAGGTGTAGCTTTGCCTCAAGAGGAATAGTGGGGCCTTGTGAATTAATCAAGGGATCCCATTAGGCAGTGTATGAGAAAGGGATTCTTCTTCAGGTGCACGCTTTGGTTTCAGATTGCGTGCATCGAAATGGCCGCGTACTTGTAGTAGAAAAATGCACTCCTGAGAGCACATATGTATCTAATCAGATGCTTGGGCGGAGTATATTCATCGGGAATATTTTCTCTGATTGCTAAATGGATGAAATTCAAGTTCGCACCAGATTTTGCTTGGTCGTAATATAGGAAGGTGAAGAGCACCAAATATACTCCTGAGAACATCAGATGCGTACGCTCTTGTGTTGTTGATTGACAGCTCTTCCTCCTGTGTCCTGTATCTTCAGTTTCATCTTATGTTCAGAGAATAGCCTACATGAACATATGGCGTAGGAGAGCTCCCGATGGAGAAAAAATGTTTTTCCTCACGAATGATCTTGGGACGATAGAATTTGTTTTTTGTACAAAAAAAATTAGTCCAACGAGAATTATGTTGCAGTATTAAAGCTGCAGTTTTCATCCCTCAAGCTTTGTTCCTAGTCGCCTACAGCTTTAGGAATCCCAAAAATTGCTCCGTTTAGTTATATGCAAGTCGCCTGAAAATTAATTTTGGGTCAGTGGATTTTTGAGCTGTTCATTTCTGCTTTAAGATTTGTGTATCTATTTTTTCTGGGATGGTCTGTGTGTTGTTTTGGGCTGTTTTTTTGACTGACCTCATATTTCCGTCAGTCAGTTTGTTAATGGGCCAAAGCCCATTACTGTGAGACATAGCCTTCCTCTCTTCCCCTTTGTTGTTTCTGTTTTTATGCTTTTTTTTGCTTTTGTTTTTTGCTTTCTTTATTATTTCTTTATTTTTGTTTTATAATTATGGAATGTAAATAAGTATTTATTTATTTATTTTAGTTTTTTATATAATTTATTTCTTCTGTAAGGGTAATACCAATACCACTAATTCATTACTTCTTAGTAACATCTTCTTTTGCAAAATTTCACTATTACGTGTCTATGCTTTCATATTATAAAAAAGCATAATTTTTGTTTAAATTATGTGCACATTTTGTTATTTTTATTGTTTTCACTTTATTTCTTCATAGTGGGTAATACTAATATCACTAATTCATTCCTTCTTAGAAGATATTTTTTAATTTTTGTGTGTTTAAGTATACATGCAGGTACTAATAATATGTGCGTATATTATCGTAGAATGTGAAAACTGCACTATTATATGCTTATTCTTGCATATTCCGAAATGTGCAATTTTAGTGTAAAGTTGTGTGCAAGTTTTGAATGTTTTTTTGTTCTTCTTAAAGGTTCATTACTTCTTAGAAAACTTCATTATCTTGTTTTTTTTTCTTTTGATAGGGTAATACAAACGCCACTAATTCATTCTTCCTTGGAAAAACTTTATTTTTTATTCTGTTTTACTTTTAGTTTTCATTTCATTTCATTTTCTTTTCTAATGGTAGTACAAGTGGCACTAACCCTTTACTTCTTAGAAAAGATTGTTTTCTGAAACTTTCACTATTATATGTTTGTTTTTTCAAAACTTGTGTGCAAATTTTTTCAATACTTGTTTTATTTTATTTTATTTTTTCTTAAAAGGGTAATACCAATTTCTTCTTAGGGATTTTTTTTGCGTAAATTCAACTCCTATATGCTTATTCTTGCATATTGTACAAAAGCACGGTTTTTATGTAAATTGTGTGCTATGGTTTTTCATCATTTTGTGTATTAACTAATTCTTTCTCCACTTGAAAATTTTCATTTGTTGTTTTCCTTTTTTTTTGTTTTATTCATCAACGGGCTGTTGTAGGATAAACAACGATGAGTAGGCTGGGCCACTGGGGTACCAATCACATGCATAATTTGTGATGGACCATGCTTGCATGAGATACACATCAATCACATGCAACAGTGCAGCCCTGGACACCTCAATCCGGGGCGGCAAACAGTGCAGCCATCGGCACGTCAATCGGTAAAATATCTGGTGCACCGGAGCTGCACCGGTAGCACCACAAGTGCGGGTGCACCGGATATATTCCCCATGTCAATCACCTCGAGCGAGATTAATTTTTTTTTTGTGAAACTAGTGAGATTAATTCACATGCAATAGAGCAACAGGAAAATAAATTTACTGACCATAAATTGGTTTTCAATCGACTGATGTATAGCCTGTCCCATAATTGCTACATGGAGACCAAATATAAAGTGCGAAAAAAAAAATCCAATTCCAAGTATACTACTCCCTCCGTCTCAAAAATAAGCGACTGAACTTTGTACTAAAATTAATACAAAGTTGAGTCTCTTATTTTGGAACAGAGGGAGTACTTGTGTAAGCTCTGTTTTTTAAGAGCAGTGTTGTAGTCTCTCCGTGCTTGAAAAAAAAGCAAATAAATTTGGTTTCAAGTCAAACAATGGAAATTTTGATAAAGTTTATGCAAAAGAATATCAAAAACTACAAGTGTTCATGTGCCTCATAAAAAATATTCGTGTGTTACAAAGATTTTTTTTAAAGAAAGAAAATAGAAAAAAAGGACAAAAAGGAAAAAAGAGAAAAAGAGAGAAGCACTAAAAGAAAACTAGAATCAAAGTAACCCGGATAAATAAAACTTGGTCAAACTTTAAAGGTTACATTTAGGAAAAACATAAATTTGAATTAATTTGAATGTAGGGAGACCATTAAGTCTTCGTTTTTTATGTTTTTTTTTTTGAGACATGAAGGAGACTTTAAGTGTGGGCCAACGTCTAGGACTTCAACTCGTTAGCATGGGCTAGCCCAAGCACGACCCAGGGTTAGCCCACACCCAGATAAGCTAGAGGAGACGACACGAGAGCTTCTGGAAGCAGCAGCACCAGAAGCAGAGACCAGTGTGAAAGCGTAAGGGAAGGCGAGGTCTGCCGGAGCCACCACCTGCCGCCGGAGAAGACGCCGGCGTTCGTCAGCCAGCCGTAGCGCCGTCATGGACGACCTCTACCTCCTCCCCCCTGTAAGGCCTGCGCTCTCTCCCCTCCCTCCTCCCGCCTCCCTCTCTGGCCTAAGCCCTAGTTTCATTTCCCCTGAATTCTGAGTTCATCTTGGTTTCTGCCTCTAAATCCAGCCCTATCGCTTAGCACAGAACTCTGATTATCGTTACCAGGGTCACAAGATTTTGGGGCAAAATATACAGTAGGTGTGTACAGTTTAGTACCAAAACTCTGATTAGTAACAGTGGTTTTCAGAGAAGAAGAAATTTGTGTATCTCGCATACCCAATCAAGAAAAAAAACTCTGATTAATACTTATAGAAGACTGGAATTTGATTTGGGCGGTGTTTTGAGGAAAAATTAGTGTGTTTCGCGTACCACAGAACGATCTTTAGATGGAGTGGGAAGATAGAATACATTAATATGTCGGTGTACCGGGCAGTTGCATATTTGCATTACTGTCACATTTATAATCTCATGGTCTGAAGATGCATAGGTGTCTTGCGACGGAGTTTTAGCCTTTCAGGTGATGGTTTCCTGATATGTTTTTTCAGTGGAAATTAATGTTTTTTTTCTTGTTATTGTATCAATTCTTGAACGTGAAATCCTACCGATGAGTTGGATGCTGATATGTTTTCTCTGTGAGCAAGGACCGTTACCCCATGGTCAGTCATGGTCCCTTGGTGTTTTACACTTTTTTTGGAAGTTTTTGTTTTTGCTTCTCTTTTGTAGTTTCAACAGTTTTCCCTAATGAAATCGGGGGCTTTCCTAATGAATCCCATAATATAAGGAAGAATCCACCCAAAACCAACCATTAAAATTACATATATTTTTACATGTGCATAACAAGTCTTGATACAGGGCATACATTAGACCCAAAGAACAACACATGTTTATCCATGGTTCTAACTTCTAACAGGCTATCTATGTTTTCAGTTTTCATTTCGTCATTGCCTTGTCTTTCTAATTCGTTGCCCTTCAACTTGTTATGTTTTGCAGAGAGTTTGCCATAATGCAAAGCCCTAGCAAACTGCGTGCCGCCTCTGTGTCCACACAACCTGCTCCGTCCATGCTCCGTTGTTGGGCAGACCTCCCAGATGACCCGCTTCACACCGTTCTTGCTTTGTCACGATCCTTCAGTGACATTCTTGCCTTTGCTGCAACATGCCGCTCTTGGCGTGCTGCATTCTGCTCATACCCATCCAAATATACCTTCTGCTCCAAATTCCCGCCTCTCCTCGTCCAACTGAATGCCAGTGTTCAAGCTGCCAACCTTTCTTCTAACAATGGTCGTCAAGACCTGCACACATGCAAAGTCATTGATCCGACCAACAAGATAGTCCCCCTTCGCTGCCAGATTCCTCGAGAAATTTATCAGGAGATGCATTTTTCTGGCACTTCCTATGGTCAACTAATTTTTTGTCGTGGTGGACATTGTCTTGTTGTTGATGTATTCAGCGGTGCGAAGGTTTCACCTCCACGTCTCCCATTCAACGGCGAATTTGAGAGGGAGATCTACTTCAGTGGCACCCTGACAGCTCCCCTTGGATCATCCAACTCACACCTCCTTGTCAGCACTACAACATCTTTGTTTGACTGGCCGGTCAGAAGTGACTTTTGGTCTGAACTCCAACTTTCTCATGCATGGATAGAACAAATTGTGGAATTCAATGGTCAGTTCATCGCAATGGATGATTGCTATGAGATATACACTTTGCAGCTGTCGCCCCAACTTGGTCTGCAGAAGATAACAGCTGAGTTTGTCAGCGACCTGACCCCAAGCTCGTATGAGAAACCTTGGCTGGTGGTCTGTGGTGACATGCTTATGATGGTTTTCTGTTTTAGCACATATGTTTCAGGCCGGACAGTATTTGTAATACACCACCTTGACATGTCAACCAAACCTGCAAAATGGGTGGAGGTAAAGCAGCTGGACAATTGGTCACTATTTGTTGGGGGTGATGTGAGGAGCCGGCCATTTTCTTGCTTGAGCCCAGAACGTTGGGGAGGAAGAAGCAAGTCGCTGTACTATGCGGGCCTTCGCTCTTTTATTGTGCATGGGGTGTGCGATGAGGAAGATCCAACTGGCAGTCCTATGATGGAGTACAATAGAAGCTGGTGCCCCAATCTGCAACCCCTCTGGGTGTATCCGAGCATATTCTACTCAGATGGCGAGTGATCATTGCGTGCAACTATGGCTTGCTGCTCTACAAGACTACAAGCTCTGACGAAAATTTCCCCTTGCAGCACAGAGCATGGATTTTTGCAAGTTGGATAAGAAACAGGAGATGCCATGTAGCATTAGCACTTGCCAAATTTTACTTTGTTGTAAGAGAAGTGTAAAGCACAGAAAGATGTACTTAGTAATCAGCTTTGCTTGCACACCAATTGACTTTGTTGCCAGAAAGCATCAGATTCGCCTGCATACATCTGCTGTTGTCGTAAATCTTCTTTGACATATTGCAGTTTTGCTGAATCATAGTTGGGTCCAGAACATGCTCGGACTCTTCAGAGTCAGTCTAATTTTGCAGCATGGAAGAGGAAGCCGCCGCGGCGACACCACCGGAGGAGGACTCATGAGAAGCACCGCCCGCCGCATCGCCGTTGTCTCCAAGGCAGGCTCTCTCTCCCTCCACCCTGGTAAGGTTTCACCTGTTCTCTTGGTTCATCTTGCATGTAACTGCCTCCTGCTTAGTACGCTAGATGCATCCGTATCTAGACAAATCTAAAACAACTGTGATGCAGAAACTGGCCCAACTTTAAGATGTATCATAAATTCGAGGATGAGTTTTTTAAACCATAGATTACAATATTGTATCAAATCCATTGGTGCCAGGTCATGAAACACCAAGATTGGCAACAGTAATGGGAAGTGCCACCTTTTTTTCAAAGTGGATTTGCCGGCACACAACAAAGCATTATGATACATTTTGAAACAAGAAAGAAATTAATCAAAACATCGAAACTACTTTGTGCACCACGTGCATGACCGATTTCTGCACGATGCATAATCGGATCGGATGAGGTTGTGGATGCTGCTTCCTAACACCAACAGCTTGATTAATAACATCGTGCATAAATCGGCCAGAGGACATCGTGTGTATAGCAGTGCTGATTAAACATTACGTAATACTCTGAAATAAGACAAACTTTGCCCAAACAACAAAATGTAGTAGGAATCTCAAAGCAATGTTGGACGACGGGTGCATACACGTTATATCAAGTGTGTGATAATATCATTTCTCAACAATAATGGCTCACTGTCCAAAATCATAAACAGAGCCCCGGAGCACCCATAGGTTCTCCAGTTGACTGTAATGGCCATCATCCCCCGGCGGTCTCATTAGACTGGATGAAATGGCTCTGGTTCTGCTCGGCACTGGTTGACCAAGCTCGATCGCAGTCCAAGGTTCATCCAAACCTTCAATAGGTCTCGCAACATAAATGCAGTTGCTCTTTCCTCCCCACCTGTCGGGGCTCATGCAAGAAAATGTAGGGTTCCTCCTATCAAAGGTAATAAAGAGTGTCCAATTCTCCAACTTCTCTATCTCCACCCACTTGGCTGGTTCTGTTGACATGTCAAGGTGAAAGACTCGAAACTTCGCTTGGATGCCATATAGTTCGTCAGAGACTACCAATAGGTCAACCAGGAGAAGCCTCTCGCCACATACCACCAACCATGGCTTGAAATGGTGGCCAGTAACCATGTCCCCTCCCCTCACAACTGCTACTTCATGCATGGCAAGTTGAGGCAAAAATTGCATAATGTGGATCCTCTAAAGAAAACCGATGGCAAACATCTGACCTTTGAAGAACACGATCTGAAGGATGCAAGCACCACCAGAAGCAATTGGCTGCTCAACCCATGAGTGTGTTCCAGACTTCCACTGGACCATAGAGGTGTTCGAACAAAGGAGAGAAGACACGAGTTGGACGAATTGAGTGGAGCCGTAAGAATCCCATAATAGTAGTTCTCAAATTTGTTGCCACGTTGGAGTTTGGGAGATTTCGTTTTAGTGCCAGTGTACGCATTGACAAGTAGGCAATGTGTCTGATCAAAGAATATAAGATACCCGTATGAGGAACCTAAATAGCGCGCTGAACTTTTTGCCGCTCATCCCCGTATGATCATTTCGCGGGGCGGGTACGGGTATGGGGAATATAAGATACCTGTATGAGGAACCTAACACCCGCTGAGCATTTCACGGGGCCAAACATCGAGGGGACAAAGCTGTCCTAGAAGGATCAACAAGCTCCCATTTGCATTGCGACAAAAGGATGCGCGTGGCACTGCGCCGCGGTCGACGAGCATAACGGGCATCAGGTTTGAGGTGGGGCGGGGGAAAGGTGGATGTATATATAGATGGAAAAGAAGAGCCCGTGGAGCGCCAAGATTTGCAGGTGCCAGCGAAGGCGAGGAAGTCATGGAATGAACTCAGGAGAACAATCACTTGGTGAAGCATGACGTCGAGGAGGTCTGTCCAATCACGGTGTTCATGCAAAGGAGGTGAGGGAGAGCCTGAAGCGGATGGCCTGCCAGCAGCAACAGCGACTTTTCTTTCACTGTGAAAAATTTAAGGTTAGTAGAGCAGAAGAAAGAATTCATACAGAAATGCTGTGTGAGGCAAACAAGAAGGACCAATTAGATTTATTGAGAAAATAATCAAGCTTCATGATTTTTAATGCCTACGACAAGCCACATCAGAGTGAACAACGTTGAGTTCATCGTCTAGCCTTGTACTGGATCTCAGTTTGGAAAATCCATCATAATTAACTAGATAAACTTGAGATGAAATCAGAAGTACCAAACGGAGTTGGACAAAGACTCGAGCAACAAAGAAAGTGGGGTAATCAAGGGTGAACGTGCAGACCTAGTAGGGCTGAGAGCGGTGGGCAGCGCCCGCGGTGAGTGGTCGACCGGCGCTCTTCCGCGGCTGCTGCCGGCCATGGTCGCCTGTACGTACGTACCACCACGTGTAGAAAAAGGGCCATTTGTCCCGGTTCGTAAGACCCATCTGTCCTGGTTCTAAAACCGGGACTAAAAGGTAGTTACTAATGCCTTAGGCCTTTAGTCCCGGTTCTTACACGAATCGGAATAGATGGGCCTCCACGTGGCCGCTCCGGCAAGACCAGGCAAGAGGGCCTTTGGTCCCGGTTGGTGGCACCAACCGGGACCAAAAGGCATCCACGCGTCAGCAGCTGGCAGGAGTTGAGTTTTTTTTGAAAGGGGGTGGTTTAGGAGTTCTGGGGGTTAATTTAGTTTGTTAGCTAGCTAACATAGAGAAGTGTCCTCTCTTATCTCTGTGCTTGGTTTACCAACACTACTGCTATGCCTAAACATGGCTTAGATTAATGTGAAGGCAACATGTGGTGCATGTCGAAAGTAATACTAATCCTAACTTGATCAAGTTTGGATTGTACTACTTTCGACATGCACCACATGCATGTTGCCTTCACTTCAATCCAATCCATGTTCATTTCACCCACTGATATATAATAACTCTTCGTGCTCGCATCATGCATCATCATAATAACAAGTCCTACTAATCATCATCATCATACAACTTCTACTCGTTATTAATAACAAGTCATACGATCATTATCCTCATAGTCATCGAACCAACCCTACTTAATTGTTCTTAGCATATGATCATCAGTATTAGGTAGGACCTAAATACCCTTTTAAGGTAAAATAACATAAAACAATATAGACCCTGACTCTCCATTATGGAGAATGGAGATCATCCTGTCTCCAATTCTTGCGCTTCGCTTCCTTTTGCTTCCAAGAACTTCCTTAGGACTGTCCATACATTTTTTCCATTCTTTGATTGGCATGTCTCCACTTCTTTTAGAAATCCGGTATGGACAGTTCAGATTCGTAGGATGACCTGGATGTATGTTCAAAACATCAAGGCTACCATTTTGATACATCAAATGAGGCACACAATCCATCGGGATTCTCTGTTGAAAAACATAGTAATAACTTCATAGTTAGCAATGATGTACTAGTTTTAGAAGTACGCAAAAGATGCACGGATGTCGTAATAGTAAAAAAATCTTATCAGGGTATCTCCATGGTAGTTCCCGTAGTTCAACATGTGCACTAGTGGCACGTATTGACCATAATGTTGAGGAGTTTGATTGTAGATATTGTAATTCTCAATATCAGTACAAAATGCAATCAGATGATTTTTCTCCTGATAAGTTAATTAGGAGCCATCCGTGTAGTGGGTTTTGTCTACCATCTTCCGCACATTCTTTGAAGAATGAGAATAAGCTGTCAATGGAAATAAGCTGTCAACTATTTTGAAATAAACAATATAAATTAGTTAATAACTATGTTTGAGAAACTCACATAGCGGTAGAATTGGAGGCGTATCAACAAGGACCCAAATGTCCATATTGTCTTGCTTGATTTCAGGATCATCAAGATCCATGGTGACAAGCATATCATCATGAAAACCATACATCTTGCAAAGTGCTTCCCATTTTTTGCAACCAAAATGGGTTACGCTCTCAGAATTGTACATTTTTACTTAGAAATCCATACCATGATGGGTCCTTAGGTGAATTTTCTGTGTTTCCATCCTTTCATGGTCTTCAAAACCCATCCTCTCCAAGACATAGCGTCTTGCATGGCATGGGATAAGCTATTCGAATTGTAAAAGATGAAAATTACACGTTGAAATAGTTGAAGTCGTGCTTAATTATGAAAAAAACACTTGTCGTCGTTGCGTACCGTTTTAATATTGAAGATCTCCTCAAGCTTAATGCTGAAGCGCCGATCTTCGTCTAGGTGAGGCCTGTCGCACAGACCTCGGTTGTCGTGGCACCAGTAGCACTCCCCCGGGAGACTTTCGTCGTCCGAGTACGACATTTCCTATGTTCATAATTCAAATATTAAATTTGTACAATTAAATATATGTACTAAAAACCTAAATTAGATCATTATTATTCATCACGGGCTGACTATCGGTCTGTCGAGTCTTTTCTTGAAAACTCCCAGCTCACGTGGTGTATATATTCGACCGTCGGTGATGGCGTAGCTCCTCCTTTCATTCCCGAGTGCATTACACCAAATTGTCTAGCACACGGGAATGAAGGAGAAGCTACCGCCACGACAACAGTCGGGATTCTTCGTCCTCTCATATATATATGGTGGAGACTCTCCCTCACTGA